GTGGCCACACCGCCAGGGTGCCGCTGGGTCGCAGCTCAGACACGCAGCTCATGCCGCGCACGGGTGGGCGGACGGCTCCCCGCAGGGCCAGCGCGTCCTGGCCTTGGAGACAGAGCCGCAGACGTGGGCCCGGGCGCCACGGGGACAGGCGCAGGTCCTGCGGGCAGCCACGTCGGTGGGGTCCCGGGTCAGGCCGGCCCCCACTCAGCTGCTCCGTCATGGGGAGGCACCTGCATGTTCACTGGGACCCCTGGGCCCTTCGCTTCCGGGCCCGGCCGTCTGTGTCCGGGCTTCAGTTTCCCCGTCCGTGGGATGGGACCGGTGTCCGGGCTGGCCCCGAGGAACCGAGGATGGGCCCCGCACTGTCGGGGGCTTTCCCCGTCCCTGGAGACCCTGAAGCCCGCCCCTCAGTCGTCTGAGCCCAGTGCGGCGGCATCTGAGCCCCGCTTGCCCGCGCGCTCCCCTTCTTGACCCCGAGGGGTGGGTCTCGTGTCCGTCCCCGTTTTGCTGACGGATCCGAGGAGCAGAGGCCAAGTTGCCCCGGCCCCGGGCTGTGTGCAATGGCCGGGAGCCAGCCCTCCCCGCTCCCGTCACCCAGGCCCTGCCTCTGACATTCACTTTCTTTGTGCCCAGAGCTCCAGGTCGTGACTCATGCGGGAACAAACAGATGAGGGAACAAACGGCCTTTCTAGTGCAGGAGCCGGGCGCACAGGGACAGGCGTGCATGAGGACGGCCAGGGCGGCCGAGACCCTGGCCACGGCCGCCTGCCCCGCGCCTGCCCCGCCGCCCGAGGGACAGGGAGCCGAGGGGCCCGAGCGTCTGGCCCTGGCGTTTCAGTAACTGACCGAGAGCAGCCCCAGACCTGAGCGCGCCCCCATCCGGGGCCCGGCCCTCCCCGCAGGCTCCGAGGATCGCTAACGGGGGCCTGATCTTGCGGGCCGAGGCCCTGTTTTCACTGGCTCCGAGGATACGGGGGCCTGAGGGTGTTGTCTCTAGCTGGCGGGGCACGGGGCGCTGTCAGCTCCCTAAGGGGCCATGTCTTCATTTTTTTGCCGTCTCCTTCGTCCACTATATGGTTTCTACATGAATTTCTCCATGGGATGCAAAACAGGCTTTGCTAAAATGTGATTCCCACCCCCCGCCGCCACACTTTTTAATTTAATTTTGGCAAAATACTCACATTTTACCATTTTAGCCATTTAAAAGTGTACAGTTTGGTGGCACTGAGTACGTTCGCAGTGTTGGGCGGCGGTCCCCACTACCCAAACGGAAGCCCCCGCCCGCCGCTGATGCCGGCCAATCTTTCCGAGTCTGGATTCGACTGTCCTGGACCCTCATGCGTGTGGACGCTGGCGGCTCACCCCAGGCATCACGTCCTCCAGCTCCGCGGTGGCAGCGCGGGGCAGTGCGTCCCTCCTCGTCCTGGCCGCGTCACGTTCCACGGTGTGGAGCCCCTTCCTGTCACCCCTTCCTGTGTTGGCTGATGGGCATGGGGATCCCTCGGCGACGGTGAACGGTGCTGCTGTGAGCGTCTGTGTGGAGCGTGCGGGTCCCTTAGCCACACGTCAGACTGTTGGCCGTGGCCCCTCACCTTCCCCCCGCCCCCCGAGGTGCCGTCTGTCTTCACGCAGCCCAGCCCTGCCTGCCTCCCTCCTGCCTGGGCGCAGGGGTTGGCCGGGTTGGCGGTTGCCCCCTCTCCCTTTGAGAAGGGCAGACCTGGGGGCTGGGAGGACGGGCGGGGATGACTCACCACCGAGACAGGTGTCTGTACCGTCTCAAGGTTGGGTCCTCCGCGGTGGCAGTGAGCTCATCCTGGGTCCTGCCCACAGAGCCGGCAGCGTGAGCGTCCCTCACCAGGGATCGGGGCCGTGCCTGCCGAGGCCCTGCTCGGTGACATTTGTAATAATGCAGTGAGCGCCTATGAGCCCGTCCGCCGTGAATTACAGCAATCTGGACAATTACCGCTCAGGGTGGCTGCTAATGGCTGCGTGTTCCAGGCGGTGGCGGGAGGCACAGGGGAGGCAGGTGCTGGCAGCCCCAGCGTCACCTTCTCCTCGGTGGACAGGGTGAGGAGCCTAAGAAAGTCGTGGCGCCTCCTGCCCAGCACTCAGAGACCCAGGGGAGGACCCAAGGGCCTGCCGAGTCTGAGGCAGATGGCATCCGCCCTGCATCCGCCCATCGCCCTGCATCCGCCCATCGTTCAGATTGACCCAGTGCCTCGCCCTCTGTGGGGCAGGGCTGCTCAGAGGGGAGCCGGCCCCGGGCCCTCCCTCGGGGACCCTGGGGTGGGTAAGCAGCCAGTATCCCAGGGCCTCGGGAGCGCTAAGCCTGCCCGATGCATTCTGGAGACTTCCAGCAGCCTGGTCTGGAAGGATGAACTGCAGAGGGTCCCCCACCCCGAGCGAGAAGCCAGACCTCAGCCTCTGGACCTTCTAGTCTGCAATCTCAGGCCAATCAGGCAACCTCTCCGTGGCACGGTTTGCTTATCTGTGCAGCGGGCGTTGGAGTTTAATCCCCTGCATTTGTTTCCTGGGTTCCCACAGCAAAGCACACACCGGGTGGCTTAAAGCAACAGAGGTTTATTCTTTCACGGCTCTGGGGGCTGCAAGTCCAAAATCGAGGTGTCAGCAGGGACGTGCTCCCGCTGGAGGCTCCAGGGGAGAGGAGGCTGCCCCTCAGCAGCCGGTGTGGCCGGCGATCTGCGATGCTCCTTGGTCGGCACATCTCCGTGCTCTGCCCGTGTCTCCACGTGGCCGTCCTCCCTGCGTCTCTGTCCGATTTTCCCTCTTCGTAGAAGGACCCTCCCTGATCCAGGAGGACCTCGTCTGGCCTGATCACGTCTCTAAGATTCTCTTTCTAAGTAAGGTCCCATTCCCAGGTTTGGAGGGGACACTTCAGCCCTGCTCAGCCACCTTTCTGGGGTTTTGGCGAAGGAAGATCGAAGAGCACAGGGCAGTGATGTCTCAGCCGTACGGAGCTCCCCACCACCGTTTGTGGCTGCAGCCAGCTCCTCGGCCACATGGCCCTGGCCCAGCCCTGTCTCGGCCCCGTTTCCCGGGCAGCCGGGATGCCGTCTCCGGGGTTGTGCAGGGTGCGTGAGCCACGTGCACGCGGTCCCGGTATGCAGCAGGCCCACGGCGTACCACAGACTCGGAGCCTTTCTTCCTGGGTGTGAGTCCCAGCTCTGCCCCTCGTGGTGCGGGACCCCGAGTAGGGCTGCCCCTCTCAGGGCCTCATTGCACCTGGGGGAAATGGGCAAGGAGTGAGTGACCTGCCAAGCAGGTGTAAAATGAAGCTTGAAAGTTCCACAGCACTGAGGCTTCCCCTGGGCTGGGGCGGGCACCCCTATGGAGGAGACCCCTGGGCTGGCACTCAAAGCACCAAGTAATGACAGATAACACTAAGCAACACTCTTGAGTACTTCTCCATACTTCCGGGTGCTCAGGGGCTGCTCGGGGCTTTACGTGTGTCAGGGGGCGTCGTCCCCACCGACCGTATGGGGCAGGTGCTGTTCCTGGTCCCTGCGTTCAGACGAGGAGACAGACTCGGAGCCCGTAGAGCTGTTAAGAGGTAGAACTGGGATTTGAACCCAGACACTCCAGGTGCAGAGTCGCAATGGGGCTGGCGTGAGGGCCGAATGAGCTAGTCCGCAGGCCAGCCTGCCATGAGTCAGATAGCGAGGAGGGAGGGCCGTCCTTCAGAAGGGACAGCACATTCCAAGGCCCGATGGCCAGGCCATGGAGTCAAGTAAGAAGCTATTGAAATCCAGAGAATGAGAGGGAGAGGGAGAGAGGCGAGGAACAGGGAGGCCACTGGGGAGCTGGCCTTCCCGGCTGGGGGATAGAGTCGGGCTGTTTGTCTGAGGGCACGGGGAGGACGTGGGGTAGGGGGCGCTGCGGCTGCAGGGTCCCAGCCGGGCAGGTGGGTGCGTCCAGGTCAGGGCTGCCTGCCCGGGGGCCTGAGCATGTGCAGAAGCTGCTTCCCCAGGAGTCGGGCAGTCCCAGGGAGCTGGCTGCTTGCCCTCAGGCCCAGTGCCACCCTGGCAGGCGGGGCAGGTCAGGCTCTCGTTCCCCTGGGAAAGGTCAGCCTGGCCTGGCTCGGAGTCTTGACTCAGCCATGCTGGGAGGCCCAGGGCTCCGCTGGTGGCTCCTCCCCGGCCCCAGCCCCCCTTCTCTGGTGGCAGGGCACCAGCCGTGGAGGGGGGTGGGGAAGCCCCCCATGTCACAGCGTCCCAGACCAGGAATAGGCTCTGGCCCAGCCGTGTGGTCAGCCCCTCTGTGACCTCAAGTGCCCTGCCTGGTGACAGGAGATAGAGTGTTGCAGGGCTGGGCTCTGGTGGCCCCAGGCAAGCCCTATCAGGCTGGACAGAGCTCAAGCCAAGCCCAGAACTGTCCCCCAGTAGCTACAGGCCAGCTTTGCCATCAGGACTTGCCCCTTTGGTGGGCGCGAGGGAGAAGCCCCTGATGGCTTTGCACCTGAGCGCGGCTCGTGTGCACTGGTTGGTTTAATTAGTCTTCACGGGTGCAGAGCATGAGGCTTGGGGAGGGGAGGCGGAGCCCCCAGCCAGAGACCTGCCCCCACTGCAGACACCGCAGAAGGGGCAGCCTGTGCTCGGCCTGGACAGCAGTACCCGCATCCACCGCGGCTCACGGTGGAAAGTGTGCTGTCGTGATCAGTACACAGGGCTGTGGCCGACGCAGCTTCTGAGTACCAGCCCCGGGGAAGGCCCGGTCGGAGACAGGGCCACCGCTCAGAGTGGGGCTGATTCTGGGGCTGATTCATAGGGGCAGGGCAGCCTGAGGGTTAGTAGAGGGGACGGTGTGGTGTCCTAGGGGACTGCTGCCACCCTTGAGCTGGTGACAGACTGATATAGAGAAGGCACGTCCTGTTGCCTCCTGAACTGGATGCTTTGGGCGTGTAGGAGACGAGCTGCTGTGATGGTTCCAAAGGAGAAAGTCGGGGTTTCTGCATGAACTGGGGGGGCAGCCAGACCCAGGGGCAGGCTCCAGAACCTTCTCTTGTTCCTTGTCAGTGGCCCCGAAGATACAGTCTAGCATCGAACAGCCGTCACCTGA